TTCTAGCTGGGGGAGGTTTTCAGCTACGCAAATGGGCTAGCAACAATTCTGATATTCTGGCTGCATATCCTGATGATCACCTGGAGAAGCCTCTTCGCTTTGAAGAGTCCGGAGACAGCATTTTTAAGGTGTTAGGAGTGGCATGGAATTCGGATTCGGATAGTTTCGTTTATCAGGTTTCAAGCTTCAGTAGATGCAGGACAAAGCGAGAAATTCTATCTAACATAGCGCGCATCTATGACCCGTGCGGCTATTTAGCACCTGTTACGTTTTACGCTAAGGTTCTGATGCAACGTGTCTGTGCCTTACAAATGTCCTGGGACGATCAACTTCCCGAAGAAATCATCATGCTGTGGGATTCATTCTCCGAAGCATTTAAGCACGTTAAGTTGCCACAAATACCACGATACATACTCAGTACACAACCATACGCATCAGAGATCATGGGATTCTGCGATGCATCCGAAAGCGGTTACGCCGCAGTTCTCTATCTTCGTACTCAGCACTCTTCCGGCGAGGTCAGTGTTCATCTCCTTCGCGGTCGGTCAAGAGTTGCTCCTATGCGACAGAAGCTAACCATCCTACGGCTCGAGCTTTGCGGTGCTTTGCTTCTGGCTCGTCTGACCGGTCACTATTTAGAACTATTTAATGGTGAAATTAGCATAAGTGGTGCCACTGCGTGGTGCGACTCCACCATCGTTTTAGCATGGTTGCGCACTTCACCGCACAAATTACAGACCTTTGAGGGAAATCGTGTTTCCCAGGTCCAGGGCTTAATACCATCCGCAAAATGGCGATACGTACCCTCCGCGTCCAATCCTGCCGATTGCGCGAGTAGAGGCGTTACTGCCGATGTACTCGTAGGTCATCAGCTGTGGTGGTCTCCTTTTTGGTTAAAGGATGATCCATCCACCTGGCCTACGAATCCATGCGTCGATACCTCGGCATTGCCTGGTCTGAAACCAGAAGCTATTTCCTCATTGGCTGCAGTTGAAGTCAATCCCCTCGGACACTCACTTATCACAAAATATAGTTCCTTTTCTCGGTTACAACGTATCACTGCTTGGCTTCTGCGTTTTATTTCTAACGCACGATCTGCCAACTCTCGAACCAAGGGACCTCTTACGGTCCAGGAACTCAGCAATTCTCTTTTAACCCTTATCAAGCTGGTGCAAGGTGAAGTCTTCGCCGACCACTTCTCAGCCATCAATAAAGGTCGACCTGTTTCGGGCCCATTGCAGCGCCTTGATCCTTTTATTGATGCACACGGTCTTCTTCGCGTTGGCGGAAGACTCAGGCACTCCAATTTGACTTACGCTGTCAAATATCCACTGTTATTACCTAAGTCGCATCATCTTACTCATCTAATCATTGATTATCATCACCTGCTCCATCTTCATGCGGGTCCCTCTATACTCGTAAACATTCTTCGCCAGAAGTTTTGGATTTTATCTGCTCGACGGGTTGTTCGAAACCGAGTGTTTCAGTGCCATCGCTGTTACAGGCTAAAGGCGAAACCTCTGGAACCCTTTATAGGTAATCTTCCACTCAGTCGAGTACGGCTTAGTCATCCATTCACCAGAGTAGGGGTCGACTTTGCAGGTCCATTCACCATAAAGGCTTCTTGTATGCGCAGGGCGAAGACACTCAAAGCTTATCTTTGTGTCTTCGTATGTCTTGCCGTGAAGGCTGTTCACTTTGAAGTCACTTCTGACTTAACAACCCAAGCCTTTTTGGCTTGTTTTCATAGATTTGTCGCGAGAAGAGGAATGCCTTCGGATGTTTACTCGGATTGCGGCAAAAACTTTCAAGGGGCTGCTAATTACTTGAAGGCTCAGAGGTTGCTTTTGGATCAATTGGGTGTCACTTGGCACATGAATCCGCCTTACGCCCCACACATGGGCGGGCTTTGGGAGTCGACGGTCAAGTCGGCAAAGCAGTTATTGATGCGCACAGTTGGTGAGCAGGTTCTCACTTTCGAAGAGTTGTCCACTGTGTTTGCTAGAGCCGAGGCTGTTTTGAACTCTAGACCGTTATGTCCTCTTACAGATGACGTGTCCAATCTTGATACTTTGACTCCTGGTCATTATCTTATCGGCCAGCCTTTGGTCAGCTTACCGGAAGAAGCATCTGATGATTCTCAAGTCCCATTACTCAAACGTTGGAAGCTAGTGCAACAAATCTCGCATCACTTTTGGCAAAGATGGCAGGGTGAATATCTTCACAATCTTCAACAGCGCGCTAAATGGTGTAAAACCATCCCCACTTTGATGTTGGGTGACCTGGTTTTAATTAAAGACGATCACACTACACCCCTTAGGTGGCGAAAGGGACGAGTATCTGCGCTCCATCCTGGAACAGATGGCGTGGTACGCGTTGTAGAGATTAGGACCAGTTCCGGGTCTTGTCTCAGATCGTTAACTAAGGTGTGTCCATTGCCAAAATGCGATACAAATTAATTTAAAACAAATTTTATATACTTAATTACTTTTTTTTTATCTTAGCTTTGTTATTAAACATAATTTTTATATACATTTTAATTTAAACTTCATGGTACATCAGCGGTTTATGCAATCAACCCTATCGGTAAATCAACTTTATTAAGAGTTTCTATTGGATTTTGCATTCTTACCCATGCGGAAATTAGCTTAATTCGGAAAATCAAATCAGTTTTGGAATTGAAATCAACTTTATTCGGAAAATCAACTCGTCAATTTTAGAATATGCTAAAGAACTTAGCAGCTCTTTGGGGGGCGGTCATGTTCGGTTTCAAATTATATTGAATGCGTTAGATATGATAACGTAACATTACATCCGCTTACCCACCTTTTCCTATCCCTTGGACGATTTTTTATTGTAATACGAGGGTAGACAGGCAGTATCTGTCAGCTGCCTGTTACTACTACGACGCCATAAGGATCGGTCGACTTACGAAAAGCCCCGATCCAAATTACATATAGCCAGCGCGTCGGTTGTTCAACGAGCACAAAGGAACATCATCAAATCAACAGATTACGTGAAGGACAATTAGGACTAGCTCAAGATAACATTCCTACAACATCCGGAAACTTACGAAAATACAGGCAGACCAGCGCTGCTCTAGAGGCTATCGGAGAAAATAAAAAATCGTAAGTCCAAATCACTTTCTGTCCCGCACATATTATTTTAAAAACTTCTTTGGATTTTGCGCCATGTCACATATTTTTTCGTATTCATTATCAAATTACAATATGGAATGGGGTGTTAAAGATAATAGGATTGCAGTGATCGCCTTGCACAAAGTCGTAAAGGGTATGGAGCCGTCTGTTATATTCCATACACTTCAAAAGCTTTGTATCAGCCGTATGTTCGTATATCGTACTATCAACAGATACAACAACACTTCCTCTGTCGGAGACCAGAAAAGATCGGGGCGGCCGCGTGCTGTTAAAACTACTAAGGCTGTTAATGCTGTTAAAGCCAGAATTCGTCGGAACCCCATTAGGAAGCAAAAAATCTTATCGCGAGAAATGAAGATTCCCGCTAGGACTCTGTCGCGTATTATAAAACAGGACCTGTCGGTGCTTATGGTCGATATACAGGAGATGCCCTAAATCAATCTTTACAATTAGAGTGGATCGATCAAAACGCCTTCTATCGCGATACGCAGGTCTATAAGTTTGGGTTTATTAAATATAGTTCAAGATAAGGATCACTCAGTTGGGGCGATCGAGAAAAAACAAGATTATCATTTTCTCTTAAACCAGTAAGATTTCAATCCCGATCTTTGTTTCACAAATTTTCCCAGAAGCATAATTTATAATAAACATGATAATGTTTCATACTTTTTCAGTATAAGGTAGTGTTTTAAAAGATCACTCAAATGAACATAGTGCATTCTGAGTGATCCATATAAACCGTTCTAAATCTTAAACGTGGCTTTGAAATGAATCGAAAAATTGTTTTGCTAAACTAATAATTGTGAAGAATTTGTGAAAGCTGCTGCTTTCACAAATTCTTCACAATTATTGCAAATACAAAATATAAACACATAGGTAGTATATTCTTGGATACGCGTTATAGCTTATTCTTCAGGTGTCCAGATTGAGTGATCCAGTTAATTAGTTCTAACTTTCTTTGTTTAGGTTTCACAAATTTTATACCTTACCATTAAGTTTTCACAATTATTTCCTAAATCCTCTTATAATTTGGTTGTGGTTGCATGAGTTTTTTGAAAAGATCACTCAGTCCACACGCACATGGTGAAAAGTACAGAAATATCCTCTTTACCGATGAAAAAAAAATCAGGTCAGGGATTCAGTTCTTCCGGTTGAAGAACACTAAAATAAGCAAAATGATAAAGTGTACTCTCACGAAGCTGCTCAAGTGGTCGGAAAGGTACAACGTGGTCATCATCCTTCAGTCAGACAGTGATGGTTTGGTGGGCGTGTCTAATCAATGAGCCACCAAACTACATTTTTGGGAAAAAGGAAAAAGGAGTGAAAACTTCAGCCAAAGTGTATCAAGATACAGTCTTGGATCATGTTGTGAAACCTCTCACAATACACTTTTTTAAAATATACCGTGGACTCCAAAAGAATTCTGCATCTGTACCCTTAGTACGAGTTTTACAACAACGAAAACTAGATAGTTTTCGTGAGCTCGCACTCGTACTAAGGGTACCTACTGATTTTATTGTTTTCTTTTCAATACAAATAAACAGTGTTTAAATTCTATCATTAAATCATTTGCGTCTTCTTAATATTTAAGTATGTTTGGTTACTTTTCACCAAAATGGACAAAGAAACAATTTACAATTACGAAAACTATGATAGTTTTCGTGAGCTCAAACTCGTACCTACTAAGTGTACTGGTCACAGGGCACGAACTACCCAAGCCTGGCTTGAAAACAACGTTCCGGACTTTATAAGATCTGAAGACTGGCCCTCATCTTGCCCAGACTCCACCCTTAAGACTTCAAAAACGTTATTTAGGCAGAGTTCATGTCTGAAAAAAGAATTTTATTAGAAAATGAGATCAGGGTGGTAGTATAATTTTCTTTGCTCAACACTTCAGGCTCGAAAAACAAATATAACAGCAGTACTAAGTAAAAAATAAAAATCATAAATAGTTTATTAAAAATAAACACTATCACAACACAATATCAATTATATAAAAATCAAACTAATCGCGTATCCTAGTATAAATTATTAGATGTTCTCCTACATTTATACGAGTAGCCCGCTGACGTATCCGAGGGTACAGTGCGCAACGGTAGCCTCATCGGGCGCGAGGCAGCGGCCATAAGCTGGTCGACGCTGACAGAGGGTGCCGAGGGTCGCAACCGCCTCTCACGATCCAACCGCAACCTCTCAATGTACTGCGCGTGCGCCACACTACTCTGGAGTCCCGCGATACTGTCAGTGCGAGCCGGCAACCGTTCCAGACTGTTCGATACTTCGCCCACTTCAGCCGTATCGGTGTCCACGATCTCCTTGTGGTCCAATATCATTCCGAGATTCAGTTTCAGATTTGCAGTGCCATCTCTGAATATCAAATATATAGTAGCTTGATCTAAAACTTTCAAAGAAAACTGTTCGTTGATCTTTAACGCTTTCATTTTTATTTGGAACGGTTTGAATGTCTGCGTTAGCTTCTTGCTCTTTTCCTTTATGAAATTATCAAACTCGATGGCGAGCATGTCTTCGTTGTCCGGACGTGGTTTATTAACGTCGTTTTTCCCCAATTTTTGTATTGTCGGATCTTTGTATGGCATTTGTGTATCGATCATCACTTGCTGGAGAACTGGTGGGTCGTTTAAGGTGTGCCACTTCCAATGCGACGCAGGACCAATAGCACGGTCTAATACTACGCCCTCCGTCTGATTATACTTCAACCTGTAATAAAACCAAACACTACATTTAATATGCTACATTATAAGCTTTCTACCCGCGGCTTCGCTTGCCTGGGTTACAACCCACATCTCCCGTGTTAACCTCTCAAAGGCTGAAGTTTTAAATTATACTTGTAACAGTAAACATTTATTACTAACTATAAGCTCAGTGAGCAATTTTCACATTTCTATGTTCAAAATCCACGAAGTTTTATACAGATATTCATTCCCTATTTTGACCCTTTACCATCTCGATCTTTTAGCATCAAGACTACGAAAGATGACTTATATTTTTAGAAATCTGAGAGGTGTTGCAGAGCGGAAAAAAAAACTGTTTATTATGCGTTGTGCCACTCTCTATTGGAATACTGCATCACCTCTTGGGGTGAGGCCGCAAAAACACACTTACTAACGGTGGAGAGATCTCAGCGCATATTGCTTAAAGTGGCTGCAGGACTCCCATATCGCTATCCTACTGTAGAGTTATCGTAGTCTGGAACATTCTCTCTGTACGACAGATATTCGTTCTGAAAACCGTACTTCAAAAACATAACCAGTTAACTTATGACCCCAAATTTGACTGACTACCTACTTCTGAGTAGGCAAAGGGCAGAACCTCCTTTGCACAAAACTTCCAGTTTCTAGGCCCATTCCTCTACAACCGAATAAATCATATCCTCCATATTTATTCTCGTCATAATAAAACCCACTGCAAAACTATCGTCCGCGATTATCTATTGACACTTGACTATGATACTACTGAAATCCTATTATGTCCTCTAAGATAAACCTGCAAATATGATGATATTCGTAGTTTTCACATGAGATTTTAATTTCGCCTCTGCAACTGTTGAAACTAATCATTCACACACGACGGCACATACACATACATACACACACACACACTACACTGCATACATATTACATACACAAAAAGAACGAAAACACACAAACACTATCACACACATACACGCCGCTTTTGGTTATTATTTTTATTTTTAGAAACTGGATAATTTTTCTAGCTTCCTATTAGATAGAAAAGCTTTTCTTTGATTATTGTTATTGTTTATTTATTTTCTTCTATTCAATGCTGTTGAAACAACAATGTATACATTTCAACTGTCCAAGGTATTGTATCATCCGTGGAAGTCTTGCTATCTGTGATTGGGCCTGGTGACCTGTAGCACAGGTTTCTATTGCTGAAACCTATTTCAGGCACCAGTTCATCACAAATAGAGGAGCCACAACACTGTAATTGCTATACAAGACTAACTATGAATCTCTGTTGTGATGGAAAATAAATATATTTTTGTTTTGATTTGATTGATTTTGACCCCTGTGATAGGGGTGAATTTTTAGCTCTTCTTACGGTCTTCTTACAGTCCAGAGTCCTCTATGATAAGTAACACAGAATTTATTTTTCTGTGTAAGTGGCCCTTAGTTTATGTTTACGTCTTACATCATTTGTTTCAATGCCAAATTTTAGAGCAATTTGATCAGTGATTTTAGCTGTGTGCTGGTAGATCAGTCAAGCACCCAGTTACGTAGCCTTTTATATATTATACAGATTCCATGATGGATGCAATGCATGGCACATTACTTTTTTGAAGTTATACTTCTTTAGCCGCGTTATGAAAAAATTATGAGAGTGAAATTTTCATCACTGTAACACAAAATTTTAACATAATGAAGTTAGCCGCGGGCGCGTTATTTGTAATATTTTATTTTCCAAGTGACCGTGGGGCATATTTGAACAAAGCAAACAGGGCAGATTTGAACGGGACATTGAAATGAAATGAAATGAAATGAATGAAATGAAATGAAATGAAATGAAATGAAATGAAATGAAATGAAATGAAATGAAATGAAATGAAATGAAATGAAATGAAATGAAATGAAATGAAATGAAATGAAATGAAATGAAATGAAATGAAATGAAATGAAATGAAATGAAATGAAATGAAATGAAATGAAATGAAATGAAATGAAATGAAATGAAATGAAATGAAATGAAATGAAATGAAATGAAATGAAATGAAATGAAATGAAATGAAATGAAATGAAATGAAATGAAATGAAATGAAATGACATTTATTATTAATTTATTGTAATTAATTATTTGCATGCAATTAAAAACTAATTTTAAACGATGCCAAAGAAGGATAACTTCTCACGCGCCTACATAAGTACACGCACCCATTTTTTTTCTTAGTTTTACTTCAGTAGGTACCTTATTTTTCCTGCATGATCGAACACCACACCATTCCCAAGATAGTCGAAAGTGGCTAGTATCGTAAAAGGTCGGGAGCGTCCACGTTCGTCAGGTTCCCCGCTGCTGTATATCACAAATCGTTGCTGAGCATTAGTTTCTGAAATGTGAATACTTTTCATTGGTCACCCTTTCTGTTCTTTCTGAACTTTTTTAATGCGCTGGTTATACCTATAGAAAAGTACGAGCAAACCGGTAAAGAAAACTTTACGCTATCAAAAATTCATTCGCTTGATTTATTTTTAAGGGAAGGAGGAGGGTTGAACTTGGTATAAATAATTCAAAATATGCATGCAACTGAGGTACGTACCTATATACAATACACAATTCTTTATTGAAAACACCACAGTACAGTACATAAATGGGGTAAATACATTATGTTTAAACAGTGATTCAATGGGCGGTCTTATCGCTAAAAGCGATTTCTTCCAGACAACCTTTGGATGGAGAGGATTGATTGAAACTGGGGTATATACGTTTATGAATAAGTCTAATCAATACAAATCAGCGCCTCGACCGTAGCCTAGCAGCGGTTTGAGGAAGTCGTGGGTCTCACACGTCGTTTAAATATATTGGTTCGCGCACATTGTCGGGCCGCCGCAGCGAGTCGGGTCGCAGCGCAGCGTAAAAATCCGCCCGAATCGCTCGTATGTACTTTATAGGAACTATACACTATACCGTAGCGCAGCGTGCCAGTATCTAAATAGTCTGTGAGCGTGCCGCATATTCCACCGCGGATATTTCATTCAAAGCCATTTACGTAGACAGTGGCGCCCTCCCTGAACTGTCGCTCACATTTATAAAGATCTGGGTCGCACTGTAATAGTTATTTATGATACAAGCAGTGTTGCCAACTCTACGTCTTTTTACGTAGATCTACGTATTTTAGGCCTTTTCTGGAAACCTACTAATTTCAGTCCCAGAATCTACGTATTTTCTTAATTTTTTTCAAATTTGTAAAATAACTTAATTCACTAGAATAAAGAAGAATATTTTCCGTTACTTTACTTAAAAACTATACAAATGTTTATTTATTATAAAGATGTATCTAAACACTCTTGTATCTTGTAGAAAAGGTTCCCGTTATTGATTTTGTTGACTAAATTAATACGCCTTTTTCAAAATCCGAGTTGGCAACACTGGATACAAGTGCGGTAAGTTGGTTATTACAAACGAGTAGACGAATGTAATAAACAACTTACCGCACTTGTTTCACAAATAACTATTGCGCTGCGCTGCGGCTACACATAATGTGCGCGAAACTTTGATCAGCAGTTCAATTACAAACAAAATACTGTCGGCGTTTCTTTTAATAACACAATTTAATAGTAATAGAAAAATAATAATACCTATGGCGCCCTATCTTTGCCATCTTGATTTTTAATCCAAAAATTTATGACCACTCAGGATTCTAATGATACCGTATACAGCAATTCTGCATAGATGGCTGACTAAATAACACTCCTTTTCTTGGCCAATCATGTAAAAAAAATGTCATTACTTATTTCTAAGGCAAATTAAAAAGGCAAAAACCTTCTGCATCATAATAATCGAGTGCCACTCTGCCGTTCTTATAAAACCAACGACCGCGTCCATTGTCATTGAATTCTGCCAGTTTTTCGCCAGTGTCATACTGCATTAGGCGTTTGCTTTTATTGTGCTCGAACCAATCAAACTCTGGGTGCGCAGGACGCATGCGGTAAACGTTCATCTAAGATAAATGAAATTTTAATGGCATAGCATAGAAGAATATAAAGGACAATGTTAAAATTGGCCTAAGAACCAACACCAATTTGGCATTTATGATAATTCTTAGTAAATTTTTTGCGATAGTTATCAGTATTTAGATTGTGACGGACACTTCCAGTTAATTAAGCTAAATTAAAAATAATCTGAGACAATAAATACCATTTTATGTGTATAATCTATGGCAGCGCTGCAAACAAAACACTCTTTCTTCCTAATGCCGGCACTTCACTTGGCTATTCGTATTTGCTATTTTAAAACATGACATCAGTCTGTCCTTTTCATTCCTTATTAAGCATGACAAGGACAAATTTTGTCAAGTGAAGGGCCGGCATAAAACTTGTTACTCTGTGGTTGTGGTGCATGCAGTTTCATAGTAATCTGTGGAATTCGTGCATTCCAAAGAGTAGTTATACCCAGTGTGACCAGATTCAGTATCTTAATACTTTTTCAGTATATTTTATCGATTTTTCCGAACATCGGTATATTTTCAGGTATATTGCTGGCAGTCAGTATCCCCCCCCCCCCCCCTAGGATTAAAGCCGAATATAATTTGGAGAAAACAACGTCTAGCGCTAGCGCTATCTAGTTACGGACGACGACACTCGACAGTGCTTTTTCAGTAAAGAAGAACGTTCTAGCATGGACTATTCTGGAAAGTAAAGACAGTGATAGCAAGTATGAGACAAGGATGGCAACAGAGTCGAGTATTTTCTACGTATTTCGGGAGCGAGAATATTTGAATATATAAGCGCGCTCGTGAGGCAGAGCAAGGCCAGTTCGAAATTTCGAATACAATTCAATTTAGTTCGGAGTTTAATACGAGCGAATATTTAATGCGCCATAATAGTGTCTTATAGTTTAGTTGCGGCGACACGAGATTTACGTTTACTGCGCAACAACTGGAAAGATTTACTCCGTCAAATGGATATCAGGAATTTCTTTGAAAAAGGTGAGTCAAAACAAAACACATATGTATGTACCTAATATGATTATTTGATTTGTTTAAGGGGGGCTCTCGTGTAAGTGTATAGGAACTAATTGATAACTTCCCGATCTCCAGATGAGCTAGAGACTTGAAATTTTGACTGTAGGCCAGAAGTGGATGACAATACAATATTAGATTGTTTTCTTGTCTCTTTGTCTGTTCGGTACAAATCTTTCAATTGATTTTAAACTAACTTCCCGATGAGCTAGAAACTTGAAATTTTGACTGTAGGTCAGAAGTGGATGACAATACAATATTAGATTGTTTTCTTGTCTGTCTGTTTGTTTGCTTGTTTGTTTGTTTGAAAGTTTAAAAAAAATACACATTTTTTATGACTAAAAAGCTGTTTTTTTTTAATATACTTACCACGTTTTTAAAACGGACAAAGTATAACGAGAAACGTAGGGTGCAAGAAAAAAAAATAAGATAGGTAATGATAAAAAGTGTAAAAAGTACCAGTCGTTGAGAAATCTCATGTTAGAAGAGCTTTCTCATTGACTGCTACTTTTTATGCTTAATTATAATTTAAAATGCTTAGTTCAATTTATACGGCATTAGAAAATATTATTCTATACTGTTTAGTCCGCTTTAAAAACGTGGTACATATTTTTTTTTTCGTTCTATGCCTAAACACCGTCAGAGTAATTATGTTTGTGTATTCTTTTTTTAGGGACAACACGGGAAAAAAGAAAAAACGGTCGGGATAGTAGCAGTGGAGGAAGCGAAGAAAATGATAACCATGATAAAGCCCATGTAATGCCAAGATCATTGCATGCTAACATTGGACAAGCGTCACATTCTCCAGCAGAACCTATAAATATATCTGTTGCCGATTATTCTTCTCCATCGTCATCCCAGCAAACTTACGACATCGATCCTGAAATTATAGTGGACGATGGCTATCATGAAAATGATCTGGGTCGTTATGTTGGGTTGGCTACTCAGCTATCGACGGAAAAGAAAAGGGAGTTGTTACAACATCCTTGGATCCCGCCCAGAAATTATGATTTTGAAAGTGATGCAAGCCATTTGAAAAGGAAATTTAATAATGCTTGGTTGGATGAATATGCACCAGGGCTATTATATGCCAAGCGACTAAAAGGCGCTCTTTGTAAGCATTGTGTTTTGTTCCCTCCGCCCATCAGCACTGTGAGAGGAATTTTGGGATCATTTATGGTCAGGCCATATATAAAGTTCAAAAATATGCATGAAGACTGCCGAAAGCATGCAACGACCAACCCTCACCTAACAGCGACAAATGCCGCAAAAAAAATCTTGAAATGTTCCTGTAGACATCCAACTGCAAAGTGGACACCAAAAAGCAATCGATGAAAACAGACAATATTGTCATCAATTATTTCTTGTGTAGTATTTTGCGGTACACATGATATGCCTCTTAGGGGAAAACAAGCAGATGAGGGCGTTTTATTAGATTTATTAAAGTTGAGAATCAATTCAGGGGACGACAAATTAAAGTCACCTGGAAAAGTGCCGTCGCAATGCAGTTTACACATCGCCAAAAATATAAAACGAATTGATGAATTTATGTGGCATAGTCATTAAGGAGAATATAATAAGTGAGGTTCAGAAGACCATGGCTTACGCAGTCTTAGCTGATGAAACAGCAGACGTAGATGGGAAAGAACAGCTATCAATGGGCGTGCGGTTCTACGACGAAAGCAAAAGGAAAATCAGAGAAGAATTTGTAGGATTCGTTGAGCTAAAAGCACAAAATGCTTCAGCAATTGCCGAAGCAATTGACAATTTCTTGATTAGTTCTATTGCGTAGGGTTTGGATTCGATGGCTGTTCTACAATGGCAGGGAAAGAGGGTGGCGTACAAGCCATTTTGAGAAAAAAATTTCCTCGTGCTTTATATTTTCATTGTTCAAGTCATAAACTCAACCTTGTTGTGAATGATGCGAACGCAGTGCCAGAAATTAGAAATACTGTCGCCACTGTTAAGGATGTTATAACGTTTTTCAGAGAATCGACTACTCGTCGAAACTACGCTCCAAACCTATCACGATTGTGTGAGACGAGATGGTCCGAAAAATATAAATCAATCAGAAAGTTTTCTCAACATTTTCCAGAGCTTGTGAAATCTCTAGAAACGTTATCCGTAGAGGGAAATTATGCCACCAGAAAATCTGCATATCAGTTGCATTCAGCCGTTACAAAACCAGTGTTTATTGTTGCTCTACAAACAATAGCCAAATATTCAGCAGTTTTAGAACCAGTAGTTAACGCACTGCAAGCTAAATCGATCGACATGATCTCGGTGGGGGAACACATCAAAAATATCAAGGACATTCTCAGAAATGACCGCGAGTTTCCTGATAAAATAAGTAATGAAATGCTTCAAAAAGCGCGAGCTGTTGCAATGGATTTGAACATAGAAATTTCGGTTCCACGTCTTGCTCATAAGCAAACATATAGAAGTAATCCGCCATCTGACAATGATAACGAATATTGGCGGCGTTCTCTGATAATACCATACATTGATTCACTCATTTCATCGTTGAATATTCGATTCTCCCAAGAAAATACTCCGGCGTTTGCTTTAAGTAAGCTACATCCTTTTTATATGACCAAAACCAGCATTACAGACTTACACTAGAACGCAGAATCATTCCAAGAATTTTATAACCTGGATATCACTGGAGAACTGAACCTTTGGCATAATTCATGGATGAAGAATGCTTTATCAGATGATCAATTAAGGGATATAGAAGTAGTTGATCTGTTCAACGAAGCCAATATTTTTTACCCTGCTGTCAGAAAGGCATTGATTATTTTAAGCACTATCCCATGCACCACGGCGACCATAGAACGGTCCTTCAGTACGCTTCGAAGAGTTAAAACGTGGCTTAGAAGCACCATGGGTGAAGAAAGGCTTACGGGTTTATGTCTGATGAGCGTACATCGCAATTATTTAAAAGAAAACAGTGAGTTTATTCAAAAGACTGTTTTAGACAAATTTTCGGCGGCAAATCCGAGAAGATTACTTTTAAATTAATATATGTGTATTATGATTATTATATATATATTTAATATTTTGTTATGTGTCATAATCAAACTAATTATTTAAAAGTCAATTTTCATGATTTTTTGTTTCAATGTACCCGACCGACCATCTTCTCGAAACAGGTATGAGCTGCCCCCTCCTAGCTGAAATCCTGGGTACGCCCTTGACAATATACATGTGATATACAAATAAAAACAATAAACAATATGATACAATTATGTGAAAAATAGTCAATAAATAAGAAGCAAAACTACAGTTTTTATTTTATTCATGATTCCTACCTAACCAAGTTTTTCCTAAAAGTTATTCTTTAAAATGCACCGAATTAAATGAATTAGTTGTAATATCAATTCACTACATACTGAGTTCATACTAAATTCAGAGGTTGACCTATATTTCATTGAATATTAAACATAACCTCAAAAAAAATTAGTTTTCCTAATAATTTAAGTTCTCAGTGTCCGTCAATAATCTTTATTTTTACAGTCATTTACTTACGATTTTGAACCTAGAAAATAATATTTCATGATTGTTGGTTCTTAGGCTAACTATGTATAGACGCTGAACAATGTCCTTTGGTACCTATGTAACTAGAAAGACTCACATTAAGTTGTGCCACCATGGTGATCAATACATTGACCACGCTCAGGCTGCGATTGATCTGTGAACTGTGATCCTCTGTGATTCGTAAGCCCATCAATGGCCTCACTCAGACAGGCTTAGGTCCATTTTATCTAGATTCTATTAGATATTTGACGACCCGTGGCCGAGTGGTTTGTACGCCGGGTTTGAAGGAAGAGGAGACCTCTTCGAGAAGTCCCGGGTTCGAATCCCAGGGGAGGTAGATGTTTGCGTGATGTATACGAGCATTTTTATTCCAGTCATGGATGTTTAATATGTATTTCTATATAAATATATTATGTATTCTATCCGTTACCCTAGTATTCCATAACGTGGAGATGCTCTATGCCCATAACATAAGCCTACAGTGCTTACTTTGGGGCTAGGCTAATTGTAATTGGTGTGTGTTGATATTTATTACAATTTACGATGTAATTCTGCGCACTAGCACAGAAGACACAGGGTTATTATTAATGACTCATTAAAAACTTGTATGCATTTTACACCTTTCAGACTATTGCAGCTAAAATTTAGCACTTAATAATGCTATAGGTAATCCTACAGTAAGTTTCTAGAGTTCTACGGGGGTAAACCATGTTCTGATTGTGAACCTTTTAACCCCAGACAAAAAACAGCCCTTGAAGCACGATATCGCTATACCGAACGTATGTGATGTTTATCTTTGGAGTCTAACAGCGTAGCGTCGTCTTATACTGCGCGATGTCTATCTCTAAAGAGTCTAACAACAGAACTTTGGTCTAGTCTCGAGCCACAAAGGTGAGTGTGGCTTGACTGGTATAGCACGCCACGTACCCATTTCTACTATAAGCTGTCTTAGGCTCGTATTACAGAATGACAACTAAGTGTTGATCTTTACTTGAGTACAGTTAGAAAGAGATGTCACTCTGTATAGCACATAGCATAATACGAGCCTTAAGTGTCAACCTGCTTTTACTCACTTAACATCAGTATAGCTGGAGAAGGGAATTAGTTGGTCGTTTTACAAAAACATAACACTGTTAACTCATGAAACATTTACATACTTTTCTCACTACTTTTTCAGTGGGCAGTAACGTCCAGCCTTTATCTATGAAGGAACGATCAGACAAAGCGTAGCGAATGATACCTTTTGGTGGTTCTTGTTCAGTCTGCGAAAACAAAGTGATCGTAAGTACCTACATAAATAAAGTATCAATCGTTAAATACTTTTACTAGCACGAGTTGAACTCTGAAAACGGTTAGGGCGGTAGAAATAACCGTGTGACAAAAGGACACCAATATTTTTCATTAAATAGAGGATTAAGAAAATCGCAAAAGGTTCTAGTGTAAAATATGAAAATCATTTTCAGTCACAACTTTTTTGTAGATATTCATATTGTATATACACTATGGATTATATCTAATATATAAAATTCTCGTGTCACGATGTGCGTAATTGAACTACTCCGAAACAGCTCGACCGATTTTCGTGAAATTTTATATGTATATTCAGTACCCTTAGTACGAGTTCGAGCTCACGATAACTATCATAGTTTTCGTAAGTGTAAAACTCGTACTAAGGGTACAGTAGGTCTGAAAATCGGACAACATCTATTTTTCATCCCCCTAAATGTTAAAGGTTAAATATAACCCCACGGTAATAACCCTTAAATTTTTTGCTTGGACAAATTTTTTTTGTTTTATTGAAGTTATACTTCTTTAGGCGCGTTATGAAAAAATGATGAGAGTCAAATTTTAAGATGCGCGCGCATCATGTAACACGAAATTTTAACAGCATGAAGTTGGCGACCAACGTCATGCGTTACTTTTGTGTACACATTAAGAAAATCTACCAACAAAATAGAAATAGAATCTCTATTTAGTGGGTGCTAACGACTGCATTGTGAAGGCCTATCAAAAGTATTTATTAATCTGGAACAACGGAACCAAAGCGCGATTCAGGAGACTACAGCGCCATCTCTTGACCATTGGTGTAGTAGAACCAAAAACCACATCTTTATTTTTTGTAATAAAGTAACAGTTATAGGTATTCATATTTATAATATTTATCCACATGTTTCTAGTTTGTATATTCGGAATACGTGTTTGAGTTTCATACAAGTGCAAATCACATATATGTTCTAATAAATTATATTCAGTAGCGATTTTAATTGAATATTTTGATTTTTTTTTTCAAATTAAAACTGAACTTTATTGACTGTGTCCTTTTCCAGACTTTTTATTCATTTATTGTAATTAATTATTTGCATGCAATTAAAAACTAATTTTAAACGATGCCAAAGAAGGATAACTTCTCACGCGCCTACATAAGTACACGCACCCATTTTTTTTTTATGATACATCATACAAAAATACATACAACCCTAAATTTTCACCCTTCTACCACCAACCCCTATTTTTTATGGCGCTACGCGAAGTTCGCTGGGACAGCTAGTATATATTTATATAGTATACATTAGGGATATTCTAAACACATACAGTCTTCAAACAGCTTCAAAAACCTTCAAAGTCATTTGGTCATTATTGGGAATAAGCAAACTGTTGGTCTAGAATATGCCGTTGCCGTTGGTATTGTTAAGAAACCACTTACTGTATCAGTCTTTTTACTTCTAGACATTCCCCAAAAAATAAAAATAAAACATATAAAATAAATAACGTATCAATAAAAATAAAAACTAACAAGAACTAAAAAGCAGCTCCGAAATAAATCCTCGAAAAGATCCAATTCTATAAAGTGTAATTTGACATTGATTGTCAAATGGAAACTTTTAAAACGAAAATCCAAATACACTGAATTCAACAACACGATAACCTTCTTCTCAAAAGAGTTCGTCTATTTTTTAACTTCTTTTTCGTCTTTTTTAATAAGAACAACTGATATCTTTTTCCATTCACAATAATTATTAAACTCAGCAGTGCCATTCTGTAAAGACACAAAATTTTCACGCGTGGCGTAGACCGGTGACTATCATGGAGACATGAAGGGGCCTACTTTTTACAAGTGGGTGAATGCAAAATTGAAAGAAAAGTTGCTGCCGAATTCTGTAGAGGTAAAGTGGTAATGGACAACGCATCTTTCCACAGCGTTCAGGTTGACAAGAAACCAACTATAACAAGCCTAAAAACTGAAATGAAGGACTGGTTACGGCGCCACATGTTGAATTTTCGGAAACCATGATAAAAGTTAAACTGCAACTTCTTATCAATAATACACGAAAAGAACACAGTACACGAGTCCGAAATTGACGAACTCCTAAAATCCCAAGGCCGTAATGTTCTCCGTTTACCGCCGTACCATCCGGATTTAAATCCGATTGGGTTGGTTCGGGCTGATATTAAAAACAACGTAGCCCAAAACTATATCAATTTTTCACTTCTTCTTCAAAGATGAGCATATTGACCAAGTTGTCTTCGGAGTTCACGACAGAAAAATGGCAGAGATGTGATGATCATGTCCAAAAAATTTAAAATACTGGGATCATGATAATAGGTTCGATATTATCGAACCTTTCATAATAGATTTGCAGAGCGACTCCGAATCCAGTTCCGATGGCGAAACGGAAGATGAAACAGATCTATATCAGAATAACTTTTGTAAATACTTTTTTTTTATTAAAAAACAACTATATTATCAAATTATTATTTATTTGCACCCTTTTGTACCCAACTACGTGCAAAATGCAAATGTATAATAAACACACCGCACAGTATAATTTTGAGCCCAAAAAACGGACACATGTTTTTTAAGTTCCCAATCGATGGAGCTAATAATTTTGAATGCAAGAGTAGAAGTCCCGAGTTTCAATTTTGGTTCTAACAGAGATTATGAATTTTTAAAGATTTTTTTATTAAAACCGAAAATTACACTTAATTCTGTAAAAGTTCAACAATAATTTTTGTATTGTTAATGGTGTGTATTGTCACTATAAAAGGCATAAAGTGAATCAATTTATAGCATTAAACTGTGTAGAACAAGAGAAAAATCATAAATTTTCTTGTTTTCGTTTTTATTTTTTTTTGTCTACATTAACAAGTAATAGGATTTAGTTTCTACATTAAACAATTCTGGTAATTGATATGAACACCGACTAAAAAAATCAAATCCAAATCTCGTAGGATCTAGAAGATATTAGCTTCTAAAGTTTTCTATGATAATTATGGTTTTAGGGCTGTCACATGTAATATCCATAATTATTCTGCATTATATTTTTTTTTTTAATATTTTACGTGCTATGTGTTGTAATAGGTATAAATACAAGGTGTTACATAACCCGTAAAAATGTATGGAAAGACTGACAAAAATGTATGGGAAATATTTTTTTTTTGCGAATTCACTATAGAACAAGATGTTAAATAGATTTAAAGGTCCTCGTTGCAAAGAACTTCTGTGTTATTGTCATTATGCCCTTCAACAATTTCGTCACTTCCACATGTCATAGAATTTTCTTCAATAGGGATGTCATAAGGTTTTAATAAATTTATAACTGCAGCTGATAATGGCAATGATTTCAACTTTTTTTGCCTATTTTGTAGCCTTATGTAAGAAATGGCTGGATCTGATGATTCCAGTGCTCTGTGGAACAAGTCCAGCATCGTTTTTTCTCGGTCACTTTTGCGGCTGTGGTGTTCACAATCGTAGCGCCAAAATTTATTCCGTGCTTCTCCCGCTTGCTCCGATAGTAAACCTACAGGAAGGGTAGAGTTACTAATTATGTCTTTTCCGTGGATAAGGATTTTGTGGACGGTCACTGTCATTGGATGCCATTCATACTCCTTAACATATTTAGTTGCTACTGTTTTACAGAACTCTCCGAACTTGTCAGCATCTACGGGTAATCCAAAGGACAATGTAACTAAAATTGTATGAAGGTCATCCAACAACCACTGCCCAAGGCCCCTAATATTTGTGCAAAAACTGCACGATTTTGATCAGATAGAACAGTTCGAGCCGTGTTTCCATCATTAGTTGTTCCAGCATTTGGTCGGACAACATCTACCAGCAGTTTTAGGTCTTCTCGCACTTTTTCTTGTATACGTTTTTTTGTTTCTTCAACAATGGCCGATTCAGATGAATTTTTGCGAATCTTCCATTTTTTTAAGGGAAGTTTGTACCCTAAATGTAGTAAAAATTCGAGAATCCGGATCCAAGCATGTAAAGGGCTTATGCCATGCTTTAAGAGCGAATGATCTGTTGGCAGGGAGTAAATAACTTCCAGTTTATTGAACTGTGTCGAAGTAGCCTTACAAAATGGGCACCTTTGTTGAGACGGAGTATTCATGATTATATTCAATACTTTCCCATCTATGCAAGTTAAATAAAGTTTGGGTTTTGCTCAGATATTTTTATTGGTAGATGTTGTAGCTATTCATGTATTTAGTTCATAGATTTGGTCTTCTACCCACTTTTGCTCAGCAAGAATCAATTCCTTTGTCTCTTTCCGATACTGAATGTGAACTGGACGGCAAAATCTGTACGAATGAGGAGTCGGATTCAACCAAAGTACGAAGCCACTTTCTGTTTTTATACATAAAGGTATAAAAGTTGTTGCAAACAGACTATGTTCATCTTCTTGACCATCACTAAAATTTTGTTTGTAAAGGGACTGGCCTGTGCTACCATCAAAGCCCCAGCTTCCCTTAAAAATACAATCTACAATGTCAACATTTTTTTATGCACAGTATATTGAAAACATACTGTCACATGAATTTATTATCCTTTGAAATGTATGCGACAGAAGACTAGTTAGTGTAACTGATGCTTCTCTTTCAGTCACATGAATTTCAGGAACTGGGTAGCCCGGGTAACATTTTTGTTTTGCCTCAAATACTTGAGGATAAGGCGGGAATGCTGGAAAGCCCCTTGCCTTCAAGTCTTGTTGTAGAAAATTATACGTATCTACTGTGAATTTTCTGTCAATACATACCGCTAAAGCTTCTTCTAGGGTATAAGGTAGTGACTCTTCTCTGAGTTTGGTAGCAATTTTTTTCATATAAAGATGACTATTATGATATTATTTTTACGTCCCTTAGTGATTTACCAGTCATATAATTTATATGAACTTGGAAGAATATATAATTTTTATTTTGTTGCAAAGAAAAGAATGTTTAGAAAAATGTTACTCTGAAAGGTGGCAACCCTAGGACAAAA